GTCAATCCAGGTGTTAGCAGGAACTGAACTCTGTTCTTCAGGCTGCAGGGAAATGGTGTTACATGACACACCAGCGAGGCAGCGATAACATAGTTTACTTGGTAAGCGGGGTGGATGATTCTTCGGATAAAAGAATATGCCTGGACTCAAGGTGGTGCCAGAAAAGAAATGACATGGAAAGGCGTAAGTAAATATCGCCCCATGTTCTGTTCCATTCCAGAGATTGGACTATTATTATCAATGTTTTAAATAGCGGGCTAAGCCCCTTAGCGGCAGCGTCTCCCAAAGGCTATAACGGGCTAAATAGCGGGCTAAGCCATTTAGCGGCTATTTAGCAGATGAGTAAAAAAATATGTCAAGCAGAAGGTAATAACAATGCAAGGTCATCTGAGTTGATAGCAACTTTGGTGGAAGCTGATTGTTCTATCGATTCAGATGCAACACTTGATGGGTACCTAAGCAACAAAATTAATATGTGATAAAAAAATGTCAAGCTTACTGCACCAACCTAGAACAAATCTGATACTCTACTTGCTTGATGGGATATATGTCAATTTATTTACAGTAAACTGTAAACCAATCAATAGTAGCAGTACAGAAAATCCTAAGCCATTGTATTTATAGTAAAGAGTAAACCTAATATCCTATCAAACAACAGCAGTAGCAAGCTTAACGCACCAACCTAGAACAGATCTGATACTCTAATTTATTCATGGGATAAATGCCAATTTATTTACGGTAATGAGTAAAGAACAGAGGATGAGATGCAGCACTACGTCACTAACATTCACATCCAGCAGCCCAATACGTAAAGAACAGATGAAATATGAGAAGAGTTTGAAGAATCTTGTCTTCTGGCTCGTACACGGCCGTCGCAGCAACAGCACCAGGCGTTGCCGCTTGCACTCCCGCGCGCTCGCTGCTTGCCGCTGTCTGTCGGATACCATAAAAAGGGGTACCCTAAGCAAGAACCGAAAAAATTGCTTAGACCTTGTAAATATCGAAGCCAAGAGACAACCACGGGGCCTCGGCCAATTCTCCGCCTCGCCCGAGGCCCCGTCCGAAAGGCCTCGAACGAGGTACCAACTCTGCGCCTCGCCCGAGGCCCCCTCGCCCGAGGCCGGCTCGGCAGCTACCCCATCACCGCCACCTCGATCGAGACGTCATGTCCAAACTAACGCAACCAACCACTCCCGCATCGTCATTCGCATGACGGCACAGTGCAGCAGAGTAACTGACAAGACGGAAGTCGCATCAACGCCCTGCCATCTGGGACAGGGCGGGGGCGGGGGTCACCGGCCGCTGTGCTCGGCACTGTGCCCACGACTGACGCCCGTACTGCACTGTGCTGCCTAACCACTGCTCCAAGGACAGCACGGCATGGAGAGTCAAGTACAGGTCCCTGTAGCCTCGGAATCAACGAACAAGACCAACTGCTCCCTCCGAGCCTCGGCTATCCGCTTCCGGGCTCCTGTAGCCTCAGGACTGGTGCCTGTCGAGCCCCCCACGATGGTTCAGCCTCTGCATCGAGTGGGCCTCGGTTCTCTACGTTGTCAACACTCTGGCACCGGCACGTCGCCCGCAGAACGCGTCATACCCTGCGTCAGGCTGTAGGAGCCACCACGTCGCGCACAAGGCCTAGCTATTGTAGCCTCGGAATCAGCGCGCCTGTGTCATCGCATCAACCCGGCCTCGGCACTCCGCACCAGTTAAACCTACAGTAACCAGCTCGCCTTCGACAGAAGAAGGCGCTCCTGCCACCACGGGAACGGGCGTGACCGGCGCGTCACTCCAGTGCACCGAGGACAAGACCGCTCCACTTACCATACCGCCACAGTGACAAGCTATAGGGCTCGGACATGCCGCCTCTGCCAAAAAAGAGCACCACGTAGCAAACACATGTACCGCCCTTGTACCTCCCTTCGACTATAAAAGGGAGTAACCGGGGCCGCCCCTAGGGGGGATGGACACACCCAACACACTCATGAAGACATCGCTCAGATAGACACACACACGCAAGCAACGAGCAACACTCTGTAATACGCACGTTCCCTCACTGCAAGAGATCAACATCTCAAGCAACCCACGCCGCTCTACGCAGAGACCTAGGGCTAACTCCCTCTCTCGCCCTGCTTGTAAACCCCTACTACGAGTACCTCGGTGCAAGGAATACAAGATCGCTCTCCTAAACTGGACGTAGGACACATATTGCCTGAACCAATATAAACCTTGTGTCTCTTTGCATCACCATCCGGGATAGGGACACGCAGTATATTTTCACTCGTTGGTTGAGGACCCGCCGGTCCAAAACACCGACACTGTCCTTTGCAGTCGCGGCAACAGCAGCAGCCGGTGCCGCAGCTCGCCGCCGCCCGCACTTCCGACGCCCCTCGCCGGTCTTGCACCCTTGCCGCTCGCCGGTCACAGAAGGAACAGCATCCGGCGCCGCCACCAGCAGTCACGCGAGCTCGAGAGGAACCGGTGTCAAATGGGTAGGGTTACGCGTGTGAGAGCTTCCCATCGTTATGTTGCAGTGATTTGGGCCTCGGCGTGATTTGGGCTAAGGAAAATGTAAGCCCACGCAAAATAGCGGCGCTAAGTGGAGGTTCATTTAGCGGTAATAGCGCACTATTAGCCACTAATAGCGGAAAACTTCCTCTAGCGCCAAATCTGTCGTAGCTTAGCGTTCTACCTGCTGAAACGCTAAAGCCCGCTATAGCGCCAGCTAAATTCCTTTATTTTGAACATTGATTATTATTGTCACAAGAAGCCAGAGTTTTCAAATTTAATAAGCACAAGTGCAAACTGCTTGTCCAAGGGAGGAACAATGCAAGAACAAGTTCCAGGGAAGTTTTTCCCTCTCTAAATACAGTATGAAAATATATAATAGTCACGCGGTCGGTGTAGCTAATGGCTGGTATTCATACAAAACAAAAGATCACTCGTATGTACCCTACATTGCTTATACTAAGGTCGCTTTTAGAGTCGCCTGTAATAAGGCTCTCCCGAGTCTCCATTCACAGCGATTTTTGCCATATGTATGTCCGTATTGTAGCACTGTCTCATGCCATGTCCAGAGGAATAGGGAGGTTAGAAGATGACAGGTGAGAACAGACAGGCAGATGAACAAGACAACAAGAGCCGACGTACTCGTCCAAGGATTCGAGCAGGATATTCCTACAAAATGCCAAGACTACACTTTAGATGCTGCCGAGTAGTTGCTTCTTCAAGACCCTTTAGGCCGTGCCCAACGCACGGGTCTGGATAACTGCCCCAACCTCCACACCGGAGCCATTGCTCCGTGTCACACCGGAGCCATATGCTCCATTTGACAAAAAACGGAAGCACTCCCTTGAGCATGCTTTGGAGACTTCACTGTGTATCCTCAAAAGCAGAACGAGGAGGGGAAAAGTGGCAGAGTGGACAATGGTGGGGATGGAAGAAAAAAATCTCTGAAAAAATACGGTCTCCTTTGAGAGATTGATAGCATGCACTCCGCCTCAACTCCGTTCCATCTACGTGTACTTCGAGGCCTGATTACTACCGTTTGCATTGCCTCTAGCCTAGTAGATACGTGAGCAAAAAGGATTACAAACTCTTTTTCAAACAAAGTTTCGGTTTATCAAGAGTCTGCCGTGGTTGAAGGAGTTAGGGCTCATGATGAAGTGGCGATGACAAACAAAAGGTCTGTCATATCGAGCACTCCCTTTGTTCCGGATCTTAAACCGTTCTGATTTTTCAAGTACATAACTTTTTGCTGCTACGTACCTAGATAAATACTATTTAGATTCATAGTAAAAATTATGTACATAAAAAAGAATGAACGATTTACAATTTGGAAAGGAGAAAGAGTAGCTCTTAAACATGCTTTTCGAATGGAATATTTTTCGTGAGGGCATAGACACATCTGTTCACATACACTCCATCTGTCGATAAAGAATACAATTCTAGCATAGTACCAAGGTAAAGTATTTTGAGTTTAATTGGCTATAAATAAAAAATACAAATATTTGTAACAAATTATTTCCTTCTCCCAGCTGGGTATAGTTACTCCTATGTGTATACCTCTTGATTTAAGGAGTATTTGGCTAGACTAAGTGTATAACGTTATGTATAGATACATAGCAAATTCAGTATACCAAAAAGTCAAAGCGACGTATAATTTGGAACAGAGAGAGTATGTGTTTTCCTTTTTATTGACTTTTTAGTGTTTTATTTACTTTATTTATTTATTTTCCCATTTATTTTTCATGTTTTCTGCTGCCCCTTTTACAAAATTTAGTTTATAGTTATTTTTAATTGGCCTCGTGTTGTACTATCCTTGGCTCCAATGGCACAGCTTTAGTGAGACAAATTAAAAAGGCTTAATGTGTCTCAACATAGTGGTATTTATTTTGTATCTAAATGTCTTCAAGTGAAGAAGAAAAATGATCACCTATGAAATTAAGAGAACCAGAACTTTAGTTTGCATTTTTGCTAGGAAAAAAGTTACTAGCATATTTCCATTAAAAAATAAAAAATTAATTGAGAGGAATTCGTACCCATTTATCTCTCGGAGAGGACAAGTATCTTAAAAATGGAAGATGAGGATCTGTAGATTTTCTAAAAAAGAATTGTACTTTTGAGTTTAAATCTTAAGTGGCATACAAAGCGTTTAAATGGTAAAGCTAAGACATACCTTTTTTTTTAGGGGAAGCTAAGACATACCTAATGGAGGATATATAGGTCCAGCCCAATTGGAAGGGCCCAATCTCACAAGAATATAAAAGTCTGAGTCGACTCAAACTGGACGCAACGCGGCCCATCAAGCCCACCAGGCGTCACTTGGCGGGAAATGTGACGCTTTTCCCTCCATTCTCCTCTTCCCGCTGCCGCCGCCGCCGCCTCCCGCCATTTTACTCTCCCCTTCCCGATCCCACCCTTTCCATATCCCACCAACTCCTCTCTCACTCCCTCGGTCCCTCTCTGCCATCCCGAGCGATTCACTGTGCGACCAAGCCATGGCCTCTAACGCCGGCGGCAGCTCCCCACCTTGTAAGATCTAATCGCTCCCTCTTTGGATCTCATTCAATTTGGTCTCCTTGCAGATTTCTTGCTAAGATTTGGATTCCCGTGCGGGGGAAATTTCGTTTTTGCTGTTGTTTTTTCAGCCGCATCGTCGCCCGATGGTCGTCCGTCAAGCCCGCTCCCGGTCACCAACTCCTCCCCATCTCAGCCCACCCGCCGCTCCGGTGGGCGGCGCCGCCGCGGCTCCGCCAGCCCTTATGCTTCGTCCCCTTCCCTCGGGGGGTTCGAGACGCCGCCACACCCCGGACGCCGCACGCCGTCCGGCGCCGGGGCTGGCGCCGCCCGGCAGCAGCGTCAGAACTGGACTGGCCGGTTCCCGCCGACGCCCTCCACCCCAATGTCCACCGATGACATCCCGCCGTCATCCGAAGCCGGGGACGACGAGACCGACGGCGGCGGCGGCGGCGTCGACGCCACCCCGGTCTTCGTCTGGGGCACCAACATCAGCGTGCAGGACGTCAACGCCGCCATCCTCCGGTTCCTGCGCCACTTCCGGGACCCGCGCGACGCCGGCCGCGTCGACCTGGTCATGGACGAGGGCAAGTACATGCGCGCCATCCACCGCATCCTCGAGCTCGAGGGCGGGGAGTCGCTCGACGTCGATGCGCACGACGTGTTTGACCACGACCCAGACCTCTACAGCAAGATGGTCCGCTACCCGCTCGAGGTGCTCGCCATCTTCGACATCGTGCTCATGGACCTCGTCGCGCGCATCGAGCCGCTCTTCGAGAAGCACATCCAGACCAGGATCTACAACCTCAAGTCGTCCATTTGCTTGAGGAATCTCAACCCATCTGGTAATAGAATATTTCTTTTGGCCAAGGTGACAATGTTCTAACTCTAGTTAGACTGTACATTGTGTGATCTGATTTGTGACTTCCTGTTTGTTGTAGATATTGAGAAGATGGTATCCATCAAGGGTATGATAATTAGATGCAGCTCGGTCATACCGGAGCTCAAGGAGGCTGTGTTCCGCTGTCTTGTTTGTGGTTTCTACTCAGAGCCCGTCATGGTTGATAGAGGTATGATGCTAATAGACATTTTGATTCATGCAATTCTGACTCGTAACCTTATTTCAATGAATTCCGAAATTCTGTTCATAAATTAATGTGCCTTCAGTTCTTCAGCGATTTCTTAGGTACCGTATTATACAATCATGATGTTGCTCAATTCAGTTATCCATGTATGCTGCTTGTCAGGAAATAAATCTCATGCAATTTTTTCTCTGATTCCAGTTAACCTTTGCTCCCAAATATACGCCACATCGAAGTAAAGATGCCACTTCATAATGTATTAATCTATATGATAGTTTTCCTTTCTTCTCAGCATACTTATTAGAGAATGACATCAGTGAGAAAGTGTTTTTGTAGTCTATCCAAGGTTTGGGGTGCTTTGTTTTTCGTGATTGTGACTAGGTTTTGTCCTTGGTGAGTTCATCTGGAAAAATGTGGTTACTTGGCAAACTCTTAAGGTTTGGTTGGTCCCCACACAGCTTTGACCAGTGCAGGGAGCTCCTCCAGGCTTCCAATTTTGGGTACATGTGGCTCAGATCGTTGTCCAGTGTCTGAGCTGCTTGGGAGGCCATGAACCAAACAGCCCCTAATTCCCTTTAATGAATAATGGCAGAGCTTTGGCCTTGTTTTTTTTGTCTTGAAGGAGTAGCTGCTTCGAAATGCGTACCATCCAGTAATATATGATACAATTTATATTCAACTCCATATTGATAGAAAGATGTGCATGCCATATGTGGACCATTTAAGTTCGTCTTTTTGTATTATTTTTATCAATGTAAAACTAATATTGTGTATATTGCCTTACTCAGGGAGAGTAACTGAGCCACACATTTGTCAGAAAGAACAATGTAAAGCCACAAATTCTATGACCCTAGTGCACAACCGATGCAGGTAGCTGTACCTACTTGTCGCCATTTTTGTCTTTGCTAGTACTCTTAGCAGAATCGAAATCACGTTGAATTTAACATTTTTTTTTGCATGACTAGATTTTCAGACAAGCAGATCATAAAGTTGCAGGAAACACCAGATGAGATACCAGAAGGTGGCACTCCACATACAGTTAGTGTCTTGATGCATGATAAGCTCGTTGATGCTGGAAAGCCTGGAGACAGGGTTGAGGTTAGGATTGGATCTTTCTTAGTGATCAGTACCTTAAATCTTGGCATATGGTTCTTGTTTTAGCAAATTGTTAAATTTACTTATTTTGCTTCTATTATAGATAACTGGAATATACAGGGCTATGAGTATTAGAGTTGGACCAACTCAAAGGACAGTGAAATCTATATTCAAGGTTAAAAATACTGAGTTTTATTGCAATCTCATATTTGAATTTCCTCTTAGCACAACGGGATTAAATCTTGTACTTAAGTATTGTCTAATGGTATTCCTTCTTCATTCAGACATATATTGATTGCCTTCACATAAAGAAGACAGACAAGTCCAGGCTTCATGTGGAGGACACCATGGATATTGATAATTCTAATGCTAGCAAATCTACTGAAGAGGATTTTCTTAGTGATAAGGTATTTTTCAGTACCCATACCTTCCTTCAATGGTGTGTGCTGGATTGTTCGTATTTTTTGGTACCCAAATCTTTCTTCTATGTTTTCTGCTGCATTCTTGGTAACCCTCTTTTTTTTGGTACTGCAGGTTGAGAAACTAAAAGAGCTTTCAAAGTTGCCTGATATCTATGACAGATTGACTAGATCATTAGCTCCAAACATATGGGAGTTGGATGATGTTAAAAGAGGTCTCCTTTGCCAGGTAACTTCATGGAATATTAAGATGTTCTTTTAAAAAGTTTGTGTTATTGCTAACCATAGCATACTGTAAACTGTTCTGTGTCCAGCTTTTCGGCGGCAATCCCTTGAAGCTTCCTTCTGGAGCTAGCTTCCGGGGTGACATCAATATTTTACTTGTGGGTGATCCTGGAACAAGTAAATCCCAGCTTCTCCAGTACATGCATAAACTGTCTCCTCGTGGTATCTATACAAGTGGTAGAGGAAGTTCTGCTGTTGGTCTTACTGCTTATGTTACCAAAGATCCTGAGACTGGCGAAACTGTATGTGTGCCATTAAGTTCACACTATAGCTTTGTTTTCTTTTCCAACTTATTGAATCGCTCCCATGATCTCAACCATGACCTTGTTTACCTTTCAGGTTCTGGAAAGTGGAGCACTTGTTTTAAGTGACAAAGGTGTTTGTTGCATAGATGAGTTTGATAAGATGTCTGATAATGCCCGAAGCATGTTACACGAGGTCTGGTTTGCTGAAAATTTTATGCATTATTTGCATGCCAAAATATGATTATCCATGTAAGCTGAAGTCCTTTTGCAATTAATTTAGGTGATGGAACAGCAGACAGTATCCATTGCGAAGGCTGGAATAATTGCATCTTTAAATGCTAGGACATCTGTCCTGGCATGTGCCAATCCTACCGAATCACGTTACAACCCAAGGCTTTCTGTAATTGACAACATCCACTTAGCCCCAACGCTACTTTCAAGGTAACTAACTGGATGGCTTCATCTTTCAAAGTGAATGAGTGACATGGAAATGTTAACTCTTGTCACAATTTAATATGCAGATTCGACCTGATTTATCTTATCTTGGACAAGGCGGATGAGCAAACTGATAGGCGCCTGGCAAAGCATATTGTTTCGTTGCATTTTGAGAATCCAAATGTAATACCTGACTCAACCTTTATATTTTGATACTTCAATTTCTTCTCTTTTTTTATGAAATAGATAATGACCAACAATTTAACAAGTGCAACACTTCTCTTAGCTAATTAGTTATGCACTCATCCTCTTGTGCAGTTAGAGGAGCTCGAGGTCTTGGATTTGCAGACATTAGTTTCCTACATAAGCTATGCAAGGAAGTATATTCAGCCACAGTTATCTGATGAAGCTGCAGAAGAGCTAACTCGTGGCTATGTTGAGATGAGGAAAAGAGGGAATAGCCCTGGGAGCAGAAAGAAGGTAGCATCTTTGTTTCATTATGCTCTAGTCCTTTTGAATAGCGAGAAGCCCCTAATACATTGCTGCTTGGTGGACAGGTCATAACAGCAACTGCTAGACAAATAGAGAGCTTGATTCGTCTCAGTGAAGCATTAGCCCGAATGCGTTTCTCTGAAGTGGTAATCATTATTTCTGAATATTAGTTACTGGTTATTATTTAGTTTTATGACCATTTGTAGTTCTTGTGACTGATAATTGGGCTCTTGCTGCCTGAAGGTTGAAGTGCGAGACGTTGTGGAGGCCTTCAGGCTTCTTGAAGTTGCCATGCAGCAGTCTGCAACGGATCATGCAACTGGTCAGATTAACTTGGCTTGACTTTGTTCATCCTTTCTTTTTCACTTTGCAACCATTGTGCTGATGGTGTGTCTATGAATGATAAAAAGGGACGATTGATATGGATCTAATCATGACGGGGATATCTGCAAGCGAAAGGCAGAGGCGGGAGAACCTTGTTGCTGCTACCCGTAACCTTATCGTGGAGAAAATGCAGCTTGGAGGCCCCTCAATGCGTATGATTGAGGTAAAGAAACATCTTTGGGTTGCTGCCTCTTTCCTTGTTTTCATCATTAGTTGCCCCAGCAGCGAGCTAAGTATTTGTTCTGATTGGTGCGCAGTTGCTGGAAGAACTGAGGAAGCAGAGCTCAATGGAAATTCATCTGCACGAAGTAAGTCTGAAACTGTAGCTTGCACAGTCTCTTCTGATTATCTTTGTAGGTTCGCATAAGCTGATGTGTGCGTGGGATTCATGTTGCAGCTCCGCGGTGCTCTTGGCACTCTGATGACTGAAGGTGCTGTGGTTATCCATGGAGACAACGTGAAGAGAGTTTGATGTTCCTGCCATCTGCGGTGATGCTTCTATAAGCTCAATCTGCCACTTCCTTGAACAGACAAGGTTGCGAAGATTTGATCAATTGTAGCACTTAGCCCTAACTTATGTGGTCTGAGGTCTAAACTGGTCCAGATTTGTGTAACTCCCTAAATAGTGGTATTGCTAGCTGTAGATTTTTTTAAATGAATATCAGAATTTTGTTTTCTTGCAATGGTTTGAGTTTACTGCAACAAGGGTAACTTCTATACTATCATTTGCGTATGTAGTTCCGGTTCAGATTTGAAGTGGCAGCACCTCCTTTCATCTCGTTCTGTAAAGTATCTTGCTGGGTTCTACGTATCATCTATATGCTGCCGTTGCTAGCACTGTGGCCTCATTTCCGAATCATGTCTGACATGATTAGACCTAAACCACTAATCAAAAGCGTAGCAGCAGTGCTGCCAGCAGGGCAGTTGCAGTGCACTTCCCTGTTGCTCGGTGGCCTCCTTCGGCCCTTAACACGAGCCGAATCAAACGTACCAGCAACGTGTTACGTTGTGTCGGCATGGTTGTTGCAAAGTGACGAGTCTTCGATGCACATGCTGCTTATGGTGTTAACATTCATCGTCACAGTCACGCGTACGTATAGATTCTAATTGGGAGTTTGGCAGGGCTCCTCCTGAGGGCTGGAGCCAGAGCCATTTTGGAGGAGCTATAATTTTGTGGCTTCTTCGAAACAGCTTCGGCTCTTTTGTTTTTTACTTGAAAAACGGCTCCTTCAAAACGTTTGGCAAGGCTCTTCTGAAAAAGCCGGAGCCGGGGTAGAGCCCTGCCAAACAGGCAAATATGAATTGCTGCCTCGGCTCGTTTAGCTTGGCCACATTAACCTTCGCAACTTGCTTTACATCGGAAACCAAAGGATTTATGTTAAACAAGGTTTGACCGATCAATTTGCTCCACGGTGTCTATCTTTTGTAAGGAGTAGTTGATGGCACGTTCTGAGGATTAACCAAATATTTATGTTATACAAATTATATTTTACAATTTGTAAGGAATATATGACCTCAATGCCATATTAGTGATTTTGGTGATTATGATGACAACTAAATTAATAGAACTAACACATATGCTAAGATGTGTTAAATATATGTCCACATAGTTTCTATGGATGTAAGGACACAAAGTGTATCCAAGATTGCAGAAGAAGCCGTGAAGAAATCAAGAAAATAGAAGAAGTTAACTGGACGGACGGTCCACATCTCATGAAAATAAGAGCGCGTTGCTTTCTTAAAATCAGAGGTAACTCCTTTAAAAAAACATGAAAATGAGAGCGCTGGACACTCACAACAGGTGTGTCTAGCCCATGCAGTGACTAAATGCACTATGCAAAATGAATTGGGCAGATGGCTTGTGAAGAAGAAATGAAAGCGCTAACAATCTTGCAAGCATTTTCAAAACATTTCTCAAAGGTTTTCACTTACATCTCACCACACTACTAGATCTATACATACACAGCAGCGGACCCACAATTTTTTTTAGCTGCGGTGAAATTTAGTTAGGACTTAAAACAAATGCATAGAAAAGAATGCATACACATATTGCTTGAACAATAGTTTCAAGGTGACACCTCTAATTTAAAGAATAAATATTGTTTTTGCACCGAATCATTCCAAATACATCAAAAGGAACTTGATCAGCTTGTAATTTTTATAATATCAATTAATGATTGATAATTAAGAGATCATATGCCTTGAACATTGATGAATATTAGAAGAATATACATATATACCACTACTGAGCACTAAGCACTTCTTAGTTTCGGCAAGTTCACTGCTCTCCTTCCAGGGTTGAAATCTCTTCTTTTTTCTATCCGTATCGAGGCCTTTAAAGATGTCTTCTTTAGTGCATGATAATATCAAGTGGTGAGCTAAATCATTTGACATCTTCACAAATGATGCGGATCACTTGTAGCTTCATATGGCCTTCATAGTCCATCGACCTTAGCCTTGCCTGCTCTTCACCGTCGTCTTGGTCCATCGACGCTAAGCCCTCTACTCACACTTCACCACCTTGATGGTCCATCTAGCTTTCCCTTCACCTTTTGCATAGTCTATTGTAGCCCAGCCTTGTCTTGGTCTTCACCATCTTGCTACATGACACTACAAGAAAAGTGTTGATCCATGATAGTTTTTTGTGACTGATTTTTTTTTTCGTCACAGATTAACGGAACCAGACATGGGTTCTCTTGAAGCCTAACTTTGGGCCCAGATTCTGTGACGAAATTCATAGACCGTCATTGTTGATGACTAAAATTCGTCACGATGCCTCTTTGCCACATTTGATGCTGTAAGGAAAATGGACCCTTGGCTCATTTACTTTGGATTTTGGTGTTTGATGACCAACACAACCAAATTGGACTAATGATTTTGCAAGTGATTGTTTTGTAGTTCAATAGGATGCAAGACGTGACTTGGACGAATGCAACGTGATGATCCGATGATCAACACCATAAGCAAGACCTTAGAAGCACAAGAGAAGACCCAAGATATCAAGCTAAGTCCAAGCACGAAGATAGGAACCAAGCCGGACGCAAGATCGCGAAGAAACGAGCCAGTAAAGTGACCGGACGCTAGGTGCCAGAGTCCGATCAACATCAGTAAGGTTCCAGAGAGCCATTTTCATGACCGGACGCGTCCGGTCAGTGCTGACCAGACGCTGGTCAGAGTCCGGTCAGTAGCAGAAAAGCGGGATTTCGTCCCCAACGGCTACTTTCTCAGTGGGGCTTATAAATAGACCCCCAACCAGCCATTTGACTAGAGTGGAGCTGAGGAAACATATCTAGGATGTTGATACACTATTTTAGTGATCTCCACTTGCATAGTGCTTAGTGTTTCATTAGGTGATTAGCGTAGGTGTTTGCGAAGTGCTTAGGTTGATTAGACCACCGCTTATGCACTTGCTCTAGGTTTAGGCCTAGTGTTTAGTGAGGTTTGCATACCTCTTACCACTCGGTGCTTGTGCGCACCATTGTTGTACATCGGAGGGGCTTGTAGTATTGCGAGATCACACCAACCGCGTTTGTGGTGTGGCCGCCACCGTGTACCGGAGGGAACAAGGCCCGCGGCATTTCGGCCAGAAGCTTGATAGTAAAGACGGGGGGAGCATCCAGGAGAGGCTTGCCGAAAGGCACGTCGGAGACCCACTTGCGTGTGGGGAAGGCCCGAGGCTATCCATAGAGTTACCTGACCGGGAGCTTGGCCCTTGCGAGGGATTCCTGGCGAGGGGCTCCAACGAGGACTAGGGGAAAGCTTGCTTGCTTCTCGATACCTCGGTAAAAATACCGAAGTCGTCGATGGGAGTTTGCATATTTCTACCTTGCTCTTTAGCTTCCGCATTTACATTGATTGCATTACTTCTTTTGCGGTAGAGATAGCAACACACTAGCAAAACAGTAGTTGCACATTTAGATAGTTTATCTTTTGCATAGGTTTTGCTAAGGTTAGAAAAAGAGGCCATAGTTTAGAGTTAGAATTTTAAGTTGCCTAATTCACACCCCCCTCTTAGGCGTCACGGTCCTCTACAAGTTGTATCAGAGCCGGTTGGCTCAATTTGGACCTTTGGCTTAACCGCCGTTGAGCCAACGCTTTTTAGAGTGGTTGGGATGGATACCTCTAGGCCTCCGCACTTTGACGGCACTAACTTTCCCTATTATAAAGCTAGAATGGCTTGCTATCTTGAGGCGATTGATTTGGGTGTTTGGAGAGTCACTCGTGACGGGATGAAAACCATTAAGAATCCCAATAAACCCATGAAGAGTGAAGAAAAGGAAATTCATTTCAATGCTAGAGCTAAAAATTGCTTGTTTGAATCATTTAGTATGGACGTGTTTAACCAAGTGTTCACTTTAAATACGGCACATGAAATTTGGTTAAAACTCCAAGAGCTCCATGACGGCACATCTAATGTCTGTGAGCAAAAACATTGTCTAGCTAAACAAAATTATGATTCCTTTACAATGAATGATGATGAGATTGTTCGTGATATGTATTCTCGTTTGAATTTAATTATCAATGAGCTCCATTTAATAGGACTAACAAAGCTAGATGATGCGGATATCATGAGGAAGATCATCTCCGTGCTATCACAAAAGAAATATGCAAGCATCATCACCATCCTTCACAACATGGAGGACTTGAGCACCATGACCTCGGCCATAGTCATTCGCAAGATAGTGGCATTAAAATGTCACGCAAGATGGGTCAAGAAGAAGCCTCTTCATCAAGCAAAGGCAAAGCTCTCGCATGTAGCGAGAAAAAGAAGATGAAGGGCAAGCAAGTTGAGACAAGCTCAAGCTCCTCAAGTGAAGATGAAGAAGAAGATGAGGACGACGACGACGATGATGATGATGAAGATTCAAGTGAAGATGATCAATCTTCCTCCTCCACCTCCGACCTTGATGAAGAATCAATCAAACTAATCAATAAGGTGGAAAAGATGATTCAAAGGTTCAATGTCAAGGGTGTGCCCATTCAAATTCAAGATATCATCTTCACCAATCAAAGAAATGAGCAAAGAAAGAGATGATGCTATGGATGCGGCGAGTTAGGGCACTTTGTGGAAGTTTGTCCAAACAAGCCCACACCCAAGACAAAGAAGAAGGCGTGCAAAAACTAAGCCCTCACATTAATAAGGTAATGGGATGATTCTTCAAGTGAAGAAGAACACCATCACAAGAGGTGAGGCCGCAAGCACTCATCATCAAGCTTTTCTCGTGTGTGCCTTATGGCACGAGGTAACAAATGCTCATCCTCTAGTGAGAGTGATAGTGATGATGAAATGCCTTCTTATGATGAAATTGTGCAACAAAATCTTAATTATTCTAAAGTTTGCACTAGTCAACAAAAGAAGATCGAAAAATTAAAAGAAAAGCTAGATAGTTCACAAGAAGCATACAAAACTTTGCTTGAATAATATGAAAACTTTGCTAATCTCAATGTTGAACTATCTACTAAAATTGAGCA